AAGGCTATATGAGATAACAGTGAAAGGAAATATTGAGATTTACCTGATTTCTAGATAAAAATGGCAATATCATTATTGAGTAATGGTAGAAAGTAGGAAATTAAGTCAAGTATTGGAGGAGGGCAAAATGAATAATAATGTTACATCTAAATCAAAAAGGCAAATTACAGCTTCAGGTTAATACTGAATTCAATGTACAACACAAAACCAACTCAGGAAATTTTATTTTGTTAACTTGAATGAATCTCATGTAGAAAATGTATTTAGCAATGTAATTAATCATACGTTTTGCCCAAATAGCATACTGTACTCAATATCAGCATCTGGGGTATGCTTTTATACAAAAATAATTTGGAATAACTGTGGCATGTTGCCAGAAATGAGTTCACAGTCTGAGGTGGCTGTTCACAAATTGAGTTCCTATGATCACCCTGAAGATTTCAGGAGACTCTTCAGATATTTTTATTAAGAAATAAAGTGGTAAGAGGAAGCACTCAGTGATCTCCCTACTGAAAAATTAAATTGTTCTTTTATAGCTCCCAGTTTTTCAGCATGACCCTAATAGTATCAGAAAGTTGGCTTACTTGAACAGTAAGATGAATTGCATGCTAGGAACTGATCTCAGTAAACAAACAGTCTACCAGCTCAAAAAAGAATCTCCAACCTTGTTAACCCATGTATTACACAGTCCCCTAGTGACCTGAAAGAGTCACCTTCAGTGTGGCAGGGATTTCCTTGTTTTGGATCAGGCCCAAGGATGGGTAATGGGATACATCCAAAAGGAAAACCATAAACAGATAAAATCACACACTTTTACTTGCACACCACTGCAAACACACATGCTTTGAGAATTGATTGGAGTCTCAGTTTCATAGTTTGAAAAGCCATATCTTTTTCCAGAAAACATCTAATCACTGTAAGAAGCTGGGAAACACCAAATTCATTCCAAAATGAATATTCACTAATAAAGACGTAATTTCATTTCTCAGACTTTCCCTGAAGTGGAACTCTCAGTTACCTGACATCTGTAGACAAGGCTAGCTTCCTGGCTATGTGACCTGTTCTGTCACACAGGACCTGCCCTTGGTTTAATGCTCTGCTGTCACTATCTCTGAACTCTTAATACATTTTTAACAAGGATTCCTGGATTTTCATTCTGCACCAGGCCACACAAATTTCATTGCCAGTGCAGTTTGTAGATATGATTGTTATAGCACCTTATATTTGTAACTGAATTTGAGGCATTCTAAACTCTGAAACACCTTGTTAATTTTTTAGGGATGATCAGAGTTTCCATTATAATATTTGTGCTTCTATAAGACTTTAATAGACCTCCTGTAATGTTCCTGGCAATATGCTAGACTTGTGGAAAGTAAAAATGAAAACAACATAGTCCCTGACTTCAAAGAGCACTTATTCTAGTGTTAAGCATTTCTTGTAATATATTCCTGGCTTTTGAAAATTGGGGATAATCGTTTCATAAAACTGATTGCAAACATTGAAAAGTAGATTCTTCACCCAGCCAGGTGTGGCTCAGCGGTTGAGCATCAACCTAGGATCCAGGAGATCGCGGTTCGATCCCCAGTCAGGGGTGTGCAGGAGGCAGCCGATCAATGATGACTCTCTCATCATTGATGTTTCTCTCTCTCTCCTTCTCCCTTCTTCTCTCTGAAATCAATAAAGATATATTTTTTTAAAAAAAGAGAAAAGTAGATTCTTCCACATATGTGCAAGGCAAATGCATAGCACAGAGAAACTAAATGTTCATGCAGAGGCATTTGTCCAAGATCCTTTTTTTTTCTTGCTAAATACACATGGTATTTGGAGAGGATCGTTTTTTCCTTGTTAAATACATATAGATGTAACCATGTTGGAGATTTAAATACTCGGGAGTTTTCCTTTATATTCTTGGTTGAAGATAATTGGCTTGCTTGTTTGATTTTTAAACCTTACTCTAGAAAAGAAACCCAGATGACATTTCATAAAATTACAATTTCTGAAATACCATTGTATTTGAAAATTAATGCTGGCACTTGCCATTTTTGTCTAGAGCAAGGAAAGTGTTCTCTTAGCATGCTTAACTTGCTGGTTGGGGAGCAGTTATCTGGGCTGATTTTTATGACTGGGCATGGTACCCAGGCTAACTGTGGAAAATGGAGAAGTCAGGAGTTTCACAAAAACCCATTTGCATTTTGTAATATCTGTCCCACTATACATATCTTACTAACACAGAGTCTTAAAAATTATCTTCATAAATGCCATTCCCAACGCATGAATTGAGTACTAGAAGTGACGTGCCATATTGCCTAATGTGAATTAGTCTAGAGCATAGACTTAAATATACTGTATGTATATTATGAGAAATATTAATAAGCTAAAAAGCTGTGGTTAGTTAAGGCATCTCTCTAAATAAAATTTAAGGCATTAGGCTCATACAGAGCCAGAATGATATGCAAAAGAAACACTGCATTTACCCCATGATGAAAACATTTCAAATGATAGAAATAATTCCTTAATAACTTGCATATTAAATGTTATTAAACAAACATCTTGAAAAATCAACACTTTATGAAGCCTCAAAGCAAGACATAGAATTATTTCTCTTTATTTGTAGTGACCATCTTGTCTTAAAACTCAAAATAAAGGAAATAAAAAGTTAATTTGTCCATGCATTTCTTTAAAAATACATTGTTGAATCATTACTATTTTCTTCAGCACTTAGCAGAGTCCCGTTTGACTTGAAAAGATATGTGTGACTTCCTCAGCTTCCATTAGGCCTCTCAGTAGTTTACAATGAAATTATCAGAAGAAAGAAATACATGCTTTGGCAAGTCAGGGTAATCAATGTTTAGTGCCTCTCTATTTTCTATAGAATGGAAATGTGTAAGTACTTTTGTTACATTATTGAATAAGGTAAGGAAATATATGACCGTCTGATGTCTTACAATCATCATTCCTCGAAAGGAACAAGTCTCGCCTTCTAAATCAATGACTTGAAAGGCTTTTGTACTTTGCATACCTAAATAAATATATTGGCATGAAATACTTATGCAGGTTCTTGTGTATATGAATATACACGAATAGTAAAAAAAAAAAAAAGTCTAATTGACCCTCTGCCTTCATGAATAATAATAATTAAAAATAAATAACAGCTTACATTTTACAGCACTTGAGTCTGATATTTTATGAAGCTTTATTGATTGCCAGCACTGTCTGTCATTGCATACAACAGGAAGTACCTCAAAAGAAAAAATTGAGTAATGCCTTCAAGACATTAGCTCTGTGCTGATGTATCTAATACCTCAATTCCCCATTCCTTAGCCTTTCTGAACTATTGTTTATTTAAGGACTTTTGAGCGTTCTTGCATATTGACTACAGAAGCTGAAATTGATGGAAACAAAGTTATCCTGTAATAATCTGATAGTTTGGGTCCTGCTGTTTAACAATAGGAAAACCAGAAATGATGCTCTGCCTAAAGAAAGCAAATTAAGAAAATAAAGTGAGAAACAAAGCTAGCTACAGGAAACAACATTTACTTTCGGTGTTGGGAATTTATAATTGTGAAGCAGCTTGAAAGCTAGTTTTGTCAGTGATGCAAGTAAAGCCCATTTTTACTGTAAAGCAAATTGGCAAAGACCGGATGACATTATTGTTTGACAGCTATCCTATGACCTACGTGAAAAAAGTTCCAGGCCAGGGTTCTTAGTGGACAAATATCCACATAGCCAATGGCTGTCTCCTCAAACAGGGCAACAACTGAATGAGTGATGAAATGAGTCTCAAGGTAACATCTGAGCAATCAGTTTTTAACTACCAATACCATACCCTATATTTGCTACTGAATATATATACTTTTAAAAGACTTGTAAAAAGGTTTAATTTTGACCTCAGAGTTTTAAATTTACATATCAGCCTAGGGTGCTTAATCAACTTAGAGAATTAATAATAATTGTATTCTCCTCTTTCCCTCATAGGAAGATAATTATCAGGCTTAACTTATTTATAGTGTGTTAGAAGACAATTTTTTAACTTGACTTTTGTGAAATATGATAATGGGATTTTTAAAAGGCACTTGTATTATTTTCTATTTTTAAAATTTTTAGTTATGCATAACCCAAGTTACAAGAAAACACACCTTAAAGAGTGCAAATATCTCAATTGGTTTTTAGGTTTTGTTTGTTCATCGGCGCTGGAATTGCAGGTGACAAATTATCAAAATTATCAAATTATCAAAATTATTTGATAATTTTCAGTGATGTAAAAAATGAGACTATTGTTCTTTGTGATAATACTTAGTAATATTATAATGAGAATAGGTTTGACTACTAATATAACACATATGACATTTGAGGTATAATTTCAAAATAAGATCAAGCAGCGTTGCTAGATTCTAGGCTCTATTGTGGCTCTACTGTTGCCTGATCTGAACTTATCACCTATATTTCTAGTATTTAGCATAATTCTGAACTCAATAAATATTTTTGGTTGAATGAATATTTCATGCAGTGGCATTTTTTAAAAATAATGATAGCTTTGATCCTTAATTCATGTTTCTAGTATTCCTTCTCAGCTCCTTGCAAAGGTTTACCTGTGAGCCTTATACTTTTCAAACAAATTTTTCAAATGAAGTTGCTTTTGCTTTTGTCAGCTCTCAAGGTAACGCTGTGCAGTGGGAGGTATAGTACTATATTTGGAAGATCACAGTTTTTGAGGAAGACAAACCTAGGTTCTGATCTCAGTTCTGCTATTTCCTACCTGTGTGTTCAGGGCAAGAGATTTATTCTCCCTGAGGCTGAGTTTTGCCATGCATAAAAATGAGAATAATAATCTAAATCTTTAACTGAGCAACCAGTCAATAGACCTAACACACTGCCTAATGCATAGCAGTTGCTCAAATTGCTTACTTAGATTATGAGGCATTATATTTAAATGAGTAGCAAGTAAAAGGCAAGTGGTTACCATGTTTTTAATGTTTTCCACTTTCTTCTTGTTTTACCAGACGACGACTTTTTTCATGAACTGCCAGAAACTTTTCCATCTGATCCACCTGAACCTCTGCCACATTTCCTTATCGAGCCTGAAGAAGCCTATATTGTGAAGAATAAGCCCGTGAACCTGTATTGTAAAGCCAGCCCCGCCACCCAGATCTACTTCAAGTGCAATAGTGAATGGGTTCATCAGAAGGACCACATAGTAGATGAGAGAGTAGATGAAACCTCTGGTAAGTTTCCCGTTGCATTTGGACTGCTACTTAGGATTCACTACTTTAGCTTGTTGTCATACTGTTCTTTCAGTTAGTTAAATTTAAAATGGAGTTATTCTTCTGGGGCTAAAAGTTTTGAATCAGTTTGGTTAATATTTGGTGATCTCCTTCCATGCATTGCAAAGTAAAATGTGATAAATAAATCTTGACTTGATCCCAGTTGGACTACACGGAACTAAAACATGTTTCATGCTAAGATAAATAATGAGAATTAACAGACTGAATAAATGGTAAATGCCCTAGTGAGAGATGCGCTTGGATTTCACTTCTGGACCAAGTCTGGTATCAGGCCTGGATTGGAGAACATGTTCAACTAAGGATAAATTGTACTTGTTTGCATGACTCTCCAGTGTTAATTCACATGCAGGATTTCTCCTTATACTTTTTAAAACAATTTGTAAACGTTATAGATTCAGAGTATCCTATATCTTTAACTTACATCTAAAAAAATAAATCCTAATTACATAAATTAGCTACAGTTAAATTGAGGGTGATCGAGAATAGTGATAGTGTGGGATCCAGGGAGAGCAGAAACGGTGAGTGCAGCCACCATCATTGTGGATGCATCTTGATGAGAGTATCTTAGCTCCTGGCCTAGTTAAAACTCCTGGCTTTATTGCTGTGTAAATATCGTTCTCAACAGTAATATCAGAAACATAGAGAGTATGAAGCAGATTTTAGTAACCTGTGAAATTTAGATTGGCTATAAAGGAAACTTTCTTGATAGCAATTATTTACTCCACAGTGGGTAACTTAAGATAGTTGTAGAATCTCCTAGAGTTATTTTAAATTGGAAAGATATATATCTTGCTGCAGCGGTTTAGTGTTTTTCCTCTCCAGCAGGGAGATTAACAATTTGAACTTTCAGATCACTTCCAGATCTATGATTTTATAAAATGAAGACATATATTTTAAATATTAAGACTTCACTGATCCATATTTCTAAACTAAATAGTGACATATATGACAAAAGTGGAAGCCTTTAAACATCTTCATTTTCATTCTTAAATATCTCTACATAGCAAAATTTAAATTGTAATTAATCATATTTGTATCCAAATGTGGGATTAACCATGGGCAAGCAAAGACCAGCACTTGAGGGAGGTCTGCATTCAATATCTCTAACAACATAAATAGTATATTGAGGTGATGGGACATAAATAAACAGAACAGACAGTGGGAGGGCTGAGAAGAGGCATCTTTCTAAAACACATGTGAGGCATATATTTCTATAACACAAATGGTCTGAGAAAATCAAGTGGCAGCCCTGCATAATTGTTTGTCAATTTGTGAATCAATATGCTCACTGCATACGAACTGATGACTGCAGAAATGACGGGGTAGCCAACTGTACAGGAGCTGACTTTAGGGAATTGTCCCACCTCTTGGTCTAATTACTCAGAAAATAACTTCACCAGATGTCTTCAAAATCTCAAGTGAATTGAGTTTTATTTGTTTTAGCTCATTTATTTGTAAAGATTCCAAACACACAAGTTTTAATGTAAGAAGAAAAAGAAGGAAATCATAAAAGCTAAAATGAGGGTCACAAAGATATTTAGGCTTATCTTTACTAAATTAATGAAAATACCTATACAAGGACATTAGGAAAAAAAACAAAACTGCTCTGAGACTGAGGGTCTCTGACAGCTTCATGCTCTGTTGGTTTTATATACAGAAAACATTGTACTGTATATTTTCATTTTGTAAAACACTGTACTTTTATTTCAAAAAAATTAATATTGCAAAAATTAATTAACAATTAATAATTATGAATTAATAACACCTATGTTTAAAAATATATTTTAAAGCAACTGTAAATTAAAATATATGACATGTTTTTATTCAAATTCAGGATGGGATAGATGAGAGCTAAGGGAAGATTTAGTGGCTCCAATACTTACACAGTCCTCCTAAGATTCACGGATGGAGTGGAATATAATATACCTTCTGGTTATCTTTCGTTTTCATCCAAAACTTTACAAGAAAGCAAGCATGCAGATGATATATTGCCTTTAAAGTTAAGAAAAGGTGAAAGATGCTCACAAATATTAGTATTATTTGGTATTATTCTCAAAGTACTTGTCAGAACAGTTATACAAAATAAATCTATAAGATATAAAAATTGTAAAGAAAGTGGAAAATGATCATTTCTGACAAATAGTATGATTTTTATATATATGGCAAACTGTAGTTTCAAATGAAATTTGGAAAAACCATCAAGAGAATCCAGACAAAATGGCAGATGAAAGATTTATATGACCTATTAACTTTTCTAACTGCTAAGAGCCAATTCAAATTATAATGGAATAAAAGATACCATTTAAAGAAACATTGTAAAGAAAATATGTAATCATAAAGTTAACAAGAAATTTAGAAAGAAAAATATTAAATTTTATTCAGAGACAAAAAATACAATGACTTTAATAAGTGACAAGGCACATCTTGTTCTTGGATAGAAAAAATATACTTTTTAAATGTTTGTTGTTTATAAATGAATCCATAAATTCACCAACATTCTATGAAATGTAATTTTTGAAAATAACAGAGAATTCTGAAGTAGTCATGTAATGAGGGAAACCCAGCTCTCTATAAACATATTATAAAACTAAAGAAGTTAAAAGAGTTTAATTTTAGCAGGGAATAAAACAGATTAAGGGATTAAAGTAAAGACCAGGAAATACTCAAATACCTAAGGCATTTTACAATGAAATAAAGATGATTTTTCAACCCACAAGGTAGGCAGTTGGAAAATAAATAAATAAATAAATATATACATAAATAAAGCTTAGATTCTATCTCATTCTTTAAAATAGATAAATTCCAAATGTTAAGGATTAATGTCATCATTATCATCACCATCATCATCACAAGGAGAAAAATTCATCAACTGGTTGGTTGGTTTCGGTGGTGGACAAAGCCTTTTTAATGAAGACAAAATTTAGATGTCTTATATGAATGCATTATTAAATTTGAATATCCAAAGCAAGGAAACCACTAAGCCAAGGTACAGACCCTCCCCCTGCAAAGAACAACCACCCTAAAACAAACAAAATATAACTTCTTATATCTGTGGATATATATAAATCAAAGGGTTAATTTAATTAATAGGTAACAATCTCTTTTTTAAACGTTTTTATTGAATTTATTGGGTGACATTGGTTAATAAAGTTATATAGGTTTCACGTGCACAATTCTGTAACACATCATCTGTATGTTGTACCGTGTGCTCACGGCCCCAAGTCAAGTCTCCTTTCGCCACCATTTACCCCCTTTACCTTCTTCGCCCTCCCCCATCTCCTTTCCTCTCTGGTAGTCACCACACTGTTGTGAGCGTCTGTGTTGTGGGTTTTGTTTGTTTATTTGTTTTTGCTTAATCCCTTCACCTTTTTCACCCAGCCCTGCAACACCCTCCCTCTCTTAAAATATTTTTAAGCAAAAGATCAGCAGCCCATTAGAAAATTCAGCCAAGTTTGAGCACGGAGATATGAGGGAAAAACGAAATGACGGAAAGGCACCTAGGGAGATGTTGTCCAGGTCAAAACGGCGTTAGCATGCAGTGCTGGAAAGGAGTGGGATGGGAACGCCCCATACTTTGTTGATGAGTTTGCCAACGGGTACAATCTTTTTGAAGGACAATTTGAAAATTCCTACCAATACTTAAATGTATCTACACTTCCTTCTCTAGTTATAAATTTAGACTATCTAAAAATAAAATTCCAAATGAGCACGAAGATTGCATGCAAGGTTGTCCTTTGCACCCTTGTTGCAGAAGCTTATCAAGGACTGTTTATTCCTAGCTTGGGATATTGTGATGCTGTTTAAAGCAATGAAGTTTCTCCACATATGAAGCTGTAGTGAAGTCTCTCAGATAAAACTTTAAGTGAAAACCAAAGTATAGAATTAAGTGTAATATATCCCCATTATGTAAAGAAAGAACACACATGTATTTGTCTATGCACTGGCGTTTTCTGGAGAAATATATAAGTAGTTGGCAGCTCAGAATCTGGGATGATAGGAGATTTCTTTTATTCGTCTTCTTTGCAATCTTGTGAATGTGTTATTTTCATAATAAATAACAAAAGCTGGCAAAAAAAAAGCCCAAAGCACTTTATTGCATCTTTTTGCCTGCTATCATAAATTTCCAATCTGTACAGTATTGGGGGGAAACTGTAGGTCTCTAATAAAACTCTTTGCTTTCCTGTGAAATCAGGAATATTATGAATTGAACTGCTTGTTTTTTTCCTCTGAAGCTGGATACACCTGCAAAGTTGGTCCTCAACTCTCCACTTAAAACAGTCTGATTATAGTCTTGTTGGGTCTTAATGGTTTCTAATCACAAGGCATCTTAGAATACATCAAATCTTGAAATATATTACAAATTAGAGAAATTTTCTTGACATTTAAAAATTCAAATTGGTTCTCAGATGATAAGACATAGAGAAGTCATTGCAAACAAATTAATTTTTGTATAATTTTAAAATAATGATGTTGGAAGCATGTTTAGTGGCAATCGGATACATTACCTTGCAACTAAGAATAATCAACTTCATTCAATTAAATCTCCATCAAAGGCACCTTCACATTGAAAAACTACAAAGTAATAAATTGAGGAAGAGAATGACAGCTCTTCTCCAACTCACAAAATTTTCCTTTTAAATAAGGAAGGCGTTATTAAATAGACTCTCTTGCTCTGAAGTACGAAGCAAAAGATTATTTGTACTCACTGAGCAAAGCTATACCACCGATCATAAAATGTACTGATTCAAGATCATTCATTACTGGTACAGTTTGCCTTTCCATCATTTAAACAACATTTGCATTTCTTGCAAATATGTAATATAAGAAGCAGAAAAGTGGAAAGCAGTCCATATTAGATGGTTTAGAAATTTTCAATACTCAGAAGCTCCTGATTTGGTAACATAGTAATAGGTACCTAAGTTTCTTCACATATCCACTGA